CAATCGTGCATTAATAATTTATTTATTTCTACGAATGAACACTCTGTAGCATAAACGTAAAATTGTCTAATAAAAGCAAAATTCAACTTTTTGTTGCAAACAGCATTAAACTGAACATAGTTGAAAAAGTTATGAATAACAACATACAACTCTTGTTTTCTTTCACATTGACGTAGATAAATAGTTGAATGAAAAAGGAATTCAAAAAATGAAGGTATAAGTAAAAGAATGGCAAAACTTTGGACAATATGCAAAATGAAATAAAATCGAACACAATGCAAGCTTAACGATAGGAGCGAAATAAGATATCAACCAACGGTTGCTAGGGAAGGTCGCTGAAGTGATGTTGTGCTGATCATTTTCGGACCTAACGCTTCTTCCTCTCTTTCATCCGGATACATCAATCAACAATCTTGTGTTTGTCAGCCACCTTGAAAATTGTCTTCATAATCGTTGTCCTCATTCCTCATAAACCCCTCTAGTTATATTCAACTATTGTTTGCAATTGCTTGCGCATTGTACATGATCATTACTTTTCTTATGCACTCGAATCTCAGTGATTCATTTTTAATATTGTTACAAGCTTTTATTGCTCTACACTCATACCACGACTTGTAGCAGTAATTCGTTCCAGAGGTAGCGGTACAAATCAACTAATGACCTTTTAAACTATTTTTGGTGTTCTGTTGTAATGTGCATATACTATTGCTGCTGTCTGGTACAAAAAACTGAGAAGGCATTTCAAATAAATCTCATATTTATTTTATCCTGCTTATGGTTCGTCTCTCCCAGAAGTCACGGATAGTGATCAGTTCATCAAAGTCAGGCGCAACTGATTCTTTGCATAAATCTCATTTAAATAACACCGTTCAAAGACACAAATGAAGCCCTGATTCATCGGCTGCAGGTGTGAAATGCTAGAGGAAGGAGGTAGGCCAAGATAATAATAGTAAGAAAAACAGCAGTTCCATCTAAAAAAACTGGGAAAATCAGCGATATTTTTCAGGGTAACCGAAAACGTTATTTAATCTGAGTAGCATCCTGAATGGAATGCCTTTTCCTTCAGACGCCATAAGCCGAGGTATGAGTGCATCATCATTTCAGACGAGAATATATAATCGCTTTCAAGAATCTTTTATCAACATTCATATTCGATGTTAACTTTAAATCGATTCACTTGTTCCTGAGCAAATTCAAAAGAGGAATGATTGTTTCCGAATGATGTATGTATTACCGCATTTCGAGAATCTGCTATAAGTAAGTAATCCAAACTTCCTTCATGCGGCTGTTATTAGCGATTGCTATAAGCATGCAAGGAGCATAGCTGGATGCGACGCTGTAGTAGACAGCGCAATGCAAACGAATGCCATTTTGCAGCGCTTTTCGCGTCGACCATTGGTCTTCGATCGTGTTCGAATTATCATTGGTCGCCCTCATGAGAGTGGACGTTTTAGCGCGAGAAATTGTAGCTTAATGCTCCGAAAGTTTCTTGGTGAGCAGGGTTGTTGCCTCAATATGCTAATGTTTCGTTGAATGTTGTATAAATGACGTTTTTGATGGGCCAAATACAATGTATTTATGACTTATTTTGGCAACGGTTTCGTTTTATAATTGGTTCTTTTGCTGATAACAGGTGCCACAGCGCCATTACAGATGCTCGTGTGCTCATACGCTCCCTAGATAGCCTCATCACTGGGCTAAGCGTAAGTCTAAGCTTAACCATACTCCTGATTTAATTTTGAATTGCATATCTACACATGGGTTAAAGTGATTTAAGCACATGCGCGCAGTGGCGCCCGTTATCAGCAAAAGTACTCCTTAATTAACATTTTATTCCTGAAGATGACCTCATCCGAAGAACTTTTATTATTCAATCTCAAGCGTGCTTTCATTGTTTCATTTGCCTCGTACTTGAATAGTCGAAACGCTGCAATTCTAGAGCGTTAACAAACGTTAATTTTACATCTTTATTTTTTCTGAAAATTCAGTGGCTAAAATTTCAATCGAATCGTCCACAACAAAATGGTACCGATACCAAGTCTCATGGATGAAGCAAAGGAAGGCTGTTATGGCTACGTCTATGGAGTTTCAGGACCTGGTAAGCGGAACTTTTATTTTGAATATCTCTTCGTATTCAACTTTGTATGACTTGAAAACAATTAATTCAAAATTTGCAGTGGTAACCGCAGAGAAAATGGCTGGATCAGCTATGTACGAATTAGTTCGAGTCGGTCACTCCGAGCTTGTGGGGGAGATCATTCGTTTAGAAGGGGATTATGCAACCATTCAAGTCTACGAGGAGACGTGTTCGTTTTACAGCTTAACGTTGATACTCTATTTGTGGTTTTTGATATATTAATTAGCGCATTGCTTAGGTACATTTTCATTAGCCTAAAGATTTTGTAGCTGCTGTGACGATTGGAGATCCTGTCCTTCGTACCGGTAAGCCACTTTCTGTGGAGCTTGGACCGGGCATTATGGGCTCCATCTTTGACGGAATTCAGCGACCGTTGAAAGATATTGCGGAATTGACCAGTTCGATCTACATTCCAAAAGGTATTCCCTATACGGTTGTGGAATGGTCTATTTTGTTTATGGGAATCATCAGTAACATGACTTCATTCTCAATTTTCTTCAGGTGTTAACGTGAACGCACTTTCGAAAGATCTAAAATGGGACTTCCAACCCAATAAAACTCTTCACGTTGGAGACCATATCACTGGTGGTGATATCATCGGTACGTTTCACGGATGAGTATGATTACTTCTCATTTTGCTGTCAGGTTTGCAGATATAAGCTCAGTCGTACTTGGTTGTTTCCTCGTGTCAAATTTGATTAGATTAAATTTTGTTGTCATGTTTATCACGATTGGAATACGCTTTAGTTCTATGTTCAGTAAATAAAGCATTTCGTTGTATTGATAATTTGATGTGTTTTTGCAGTACGTCCATATTAATGAAACTGAATTTTATTATTTTCAGGCTTTGTTCAAGAAAATTTGTTGATCAAGCATCGGATTATGTTACCTCCGACAGCGTGTGGTACAATCACATATCTGGCTGACCCTGGGCAATACACTGTCAAGGTTGGTTTTCTTTTTTGTTTGTCGCTTGTCGAATGCTACTCAGCATGAATATTCGGTGGTTAATCGTTCGTTTTGATTAGATTTTTCCCTTTAATCAGAGTTCAGTTCATAGATTAGATTCTCCTGTTCAGAAGCAGTCGTTTAATTTATAAGTTATTGACAAGCAATCAGTTAACTATTTAGAAACAGTCATTTAGTCAGTCGAGTATTGAACTGGTTTGAAGTTATTTAATTTCTCGGATCAGACTGACTTTCCCATTGCAGGAGAGGATCCTAGAAGTGGAATTCGCAGGTGAAAAGAGTCGGTACTCCATGCTTCAAGTCTGGCCTGTACGTCAGCCAAGACCTTGTGCTGAAAAACTTGCTGCAAATTACCCGCTTCTATGTGGGCAACGTGTTTTGGATGCGCTCTTCCCTTGTGTGCAGGGTGGAACCACAGCTATTCCAGGTGTTTATTTGGCAGCTTTGCCTATTTTTAGTGTTTTTTTGAAGCCACATGCTTGCTGAAAGTATTTGTGATCAATTTTGCTATGATATTCGTTTAGGGAGGCAAAAAAAGTTTTGGCTTCGAAGCTGAACATCACCGCAAATTATTGCATTCCCATGTATTTCCAGCAATAAATAATGAAATTCAGGAGCGTTTGGTTGCGGTAAAACTGTAATATCACAGTCTCTTTCGAAGTTCTCCAATTCAGATGCAATTATATACGTCGGTTGTGGTGAGCGTGGTAATGAAATGTCTGAGGTAAGATTTAATCGAAAAGAGCTGAATTCTCATTCACTTTAAGAAATATCTGAGGAAACTCCTCATACGTTTGAGGAAATACCTACAATGAGGAGGGGTACGGTCGCTTGACTTCTTCATTTAAAGGTACTTCGAGATTTCCCCGAGTTGACGATGGAGGTGGATGGTGTCACGACATCAATCATGAAACGTACCGCTCTTGTGGCGAACACATCCAACATGCCAGTGGCTGCCCGTGAGGCATCCATTTACACTGGTATCACGTTGGCTGAGTACTTCCGTGATATGGGTCTGAACGTTGCCATGATGGCTGACTCTACTTCTCGTTGGGCTGAAGCTCTTCGTGAGATATCTGGTATGTCTGTCAGTTCATCCTTTCTAATGCTCAACTGCTTTCAACATGAATCCTTAGCCACGTATTCCTGCTGCAATAATTGCGTTGTCACGATCCTATATGACACATTTTTCATTTTTGGTTGTTGTCAGAATGGTATGAACGTTGACATTCATCGGTTTCATTTCATACTCATGCTTTGTTGCTGACTAGATAAACGAGAGATATGTTTGGGTGATAATATGTTCATATATCAATATTTTTGTAGGTCGTTTGGGTGAAATGCCTGCTGATTCTGGTTATCCGGCTTATCTGGCTGCACGTTTGGCATCCTTCTATGAAAGAGCTGGAAAAGTCAAATGTCTCGGAAATCCAGCTCGTGAAGGCTCAGTCACAATTGTGGGCGCGTAAGTATTATGCATTTCATTCTCAACTGATTATGTCCCGTTTGATCCATCCATACTGAAGTAGGAGTCAGAAGACGTATAAATTCAGCGTCCAGTAAGGCGGACTGTTTTCGTTAGAGTATTGTCATGATTTTCGCAATGCACAATTAAGACTCCACTTTTTGATAACATTTAACATGAATTTTCTTTAAATTTTCATTCTTGGCGATTACAACCGGTAGTGTTTCAGCGTATCACCTCCTGGTGGTGACTTCGCCGATCCTGTCACATCAGCTACTTTGGGTATCGTGCAAGTGTTCTGGGGTCTCGACAAAAAACTCGCCCAGCGAAAACACTTCCCTTCAATCAATTGGCTCATCTCGTACAGGTTGGTCTACTGTTTACGAATTTGTGAGTTGTGGTATAGAATATATTATGTTGATTAGAACAAGAATAGAGAAAGGTTTATATATTCATTTGTATACGTTATAAGTACAACAACAACGCATTTAAAAATTTCCCTTCCTCAAAACGATAACTTTTTAAATGAAATATTATCGAAAAGTCATCAAAAGTACACAATGTTTGTATAATTTTATCAATGTCATTATCACGGTCAGTCTTATTATTCATAGCTTTACCGTCATAGTGATCGGATTTCTTTGAAAATCGTCGTCAAACTCCTCAAGATGAAAAGGTTGTTGCCATTAGAAATGACTGAACTGTTGAACAAGACCATCATCTCCGTAAGCCATTTGCGAATGTCGTCTAGCTTCAGGAATACTGTACTCTTGAGCATTTCCTCTTTTATGCGCACCTCCTTTGATAATATTCACAATCGATGCCAAACATTCACACTAAAATTTTTAAAACTTCATTTTCATCTTGGTTATACTCGTCAAATATTGCAAATTGCAACATAAATTGCTTCAATGCTGAATTGTTAACAGTATTATCATTTCTAAGTGTCTTAAAAACTATCAAACGTCATTCTTATTTAACAATGATTGTTTTCCCTTCAAGTTACTTCTATAAATCTTATTTTATCTTTTTGAATAAGAATTTATAGTGTGTTGCTGAAACATGTTTTGATTTTTCTTCCAAACAATAATCAACAATTTAAGGTTATCTCATTTGTAATAGTTTAGTGAATTAAAACGAAACAAGTTGTAAAAATTTGCTAAGTTGAACACAATACTTTATCGCTGTCATTCACGTAAACCACGTAGCGATACCAAATGACAATAAGCGCAAGTGCGAATGCGCAGAATATCGACGTGCCAAATAATCCAACAACCACAGAGCCAATTATTGCAATAGTTTTCCAATGAACGTGATGCTGTAACGTTGGTTGTTCCGTTATTTGAAAGCAAACGTTTATGTTTCTATTCGTGTCTTCATTCACGTATTCTAACTCATCTGTAGTTGTTCGATGTTGCTCTTATTTCGTTTTTGATTTTTGTCTTTCAGTTTTTCACTTCAAATGCTCTCCTCATAATTACTGCCTTATTTTTCCATAGCAGTTCTGGTAAATTCTTTTACAACGCATTTCAACTGCAGACATGGTTCACTCACCAGATAAAAGAACAGCAAAGAGATGAATAAAGCGTGTATAATCGCGTAAATCATAACAATGCAAAGAATGATTGCATTGAAGACAGCCAACTCGAGATTGTCGAGTTTAATCGATGCTAGCAGCATGAATAATGAGAGTAGCCATAGAACGCACATACCTATAATTCAGTTTGCATCAGTCAACCTTTCACTCATCTCTTTCGTTACTATATTTATTTGCTGATGGCACCGTTTGTTTTTTTATTAGCATATTTATGGAGACATTTTTCGTTCACTGTTCTTTAGATTTGAACAATCTCAATTCACTGATGTATAATATCTCTTATGCATTTTATCGGCATAGTCATTCTGATACAACAAAAACAAGTGTGTTTTGGTATGTGCAGTTCTTTGAAGTTAGTCATTTGGAATGCAAAACGCTTTTTTTATGTGAGTCTTGCATAGTGACAGTTCTAGTTGAACTAAAAGTTGTTAACAAACCAATGTAAACTATAGATGAAACACGAAGTAATTCCATTAAATCAATTTCGAGTCCATTCGTTCCAGTATGCATGGTGTTGTTTTCCAGTATGCGATTATCAAATGCATCGTCAGTAATATTCTCGAATGTTCCGTTCATATCCAAAATTTCCGTCGCCTGATCCGAAAAAAGGATTAGCCAACGAGGTACATACATGTATTTCAATGATTTAAATTTGCTAAATTTTTCTTCATTTTCACCCTTGTGTTTGCTTATAACATTGTGTAGATCAGGGTTTTTCAACCAGGGGTGCCCGCTACACTTGAGGGTGCGAGATAGTGTTCAAGGGGGTACGAGATAACATTTTGTTCTTTTTTTATAAANTAACGTGTAAAGAATATATTTTCCAAAAAGTTTCCCGCATGTATGAAAATGTATTGTTCATGCAACTATTACTTTTTTGTAATATTTTTTCTTTTCCAGGTGATCATTTTTTATGTCACTAAAAGTATTTATAAGAAATTCTTTCGGTCGGGTCTACTTTTATTTTCAAATAAACGAGGGATGGGAGGACGTTTGAAAAATCTTAAGGGGGTGTAGGCGAATAAAAATCATTGGTATAGATAGATAAATTGCAATAAAGCTGAAATTGGGAGTGTTCATTATAGAGTTTTGAAAACAACCACGAATTCTGCTATAGACACACCTCCCTCCGAATGCGGTGCGGCAAAGAGAACTCATCACTGGTGTTATTTGCTGACGATTGACCGCCGAATATAGTTTGACCGTCGACGTGTATAATGAGTAGGATAACGAGTGCTGCGCTGAGCAGTAGTGCAGTTAGTTGCACGATCAAACTGACGGTACCGCTCTGTCGTGGCGGGATGAAGCAAAGCTTGTACGACATCGCATCGTCTCGTATCTCTTGTCTTTCAGCGCTTATGCCTTAACCGTCGATTTTTCGCAACTTGATTAGAGCACACTGTATATGCTTTGATTGGATGAAATAATAGTAGCATTATTGAACTTCTTAAAAACAATCTCATTAGATTTGTTGTCTTTAAATCAACTCTCGACTCTAAATGATTTTGAATGGCTACTATTATTACTGTATCGGCAAACAAGTAATACATCAGTTAAGTGAAAAATGCTTGTTCTTACCGTTTTCTATCATATCGAATGTAGTTCGTTGATGTACTTGATCTGGTGATGACAACGTATTGTTATCACTTTGCAGTTCACTATCAACTGGATGTGCAAATTTATGCAAATTGTACTTACTGATAATATGTGCGTCCGTTTGTGATATTGAGAATAATGGTGACAGTTGGCTTACTGATTACGTTAAAAGACAGCAGACAAGTTGTATTTTGAGTAGAAAATATTGTCAACGAAAAACTTGCAATTTTGGTTGAGTATTCATTTTGTAAGCTTTGATTAGTAAAATTAGTAACGCCTTATTCGCTACTGAACGCATTATTCGAGTATAATTTATTAACGATTTTCCAAATTTGCTACCGGCTGCTGTTGTTTTCTTACCATCCGAAACAATGAACATTGATCAACATTTCATCGTAGTAGTGGTGAGAAGGCGGCGTTCAGTGCTTTTTGTTTTCTTACTGACTTTTCGAATTATTCTTATTATTAAACGTGACTCTGAAATTGATTTTAGAAATTAGAAAAGAGTTAGTGATCTATTTCTTAACAATCTTATTTTTCACGAATTCATCAGTCGAATCGTTCCAGATGTTGCTGAAATGTGTACGCATTAAGGATGATAGATGATATAGCTGACATCGCTGTCATATGATAAAAGCGGTAATCAACGACCCATTTTGATAGAATGAGATTGATAAGTTGATAAGCGAAGGAATGAGGCCACACTGATTAGACGACCAACAAACGGTAGATAAATGGACGAACATTTCTATATGCATTGAAGCATTGCTTATGAGTTGATGAATCGAAATGCGAAACCAACAGTTAAGCAAAAGCTTACTTCGAGAGTTGCCCTTGGCAACCCGTTATGACCGACCGACCAGCAACATAACCGTCAAGCAGCTAATTTGCTGCAGTTATTCGTCGTTGTCTATCACATGAAAATTGTGTGCTGTTGCTACTAAATATCATGATTTGCTTGCTTTCATCTATTGAACGAATGAACAACATGTTATGAAACTAATGTCTAATGTTGGTCAAATTGCCTATGCTGTATTCAGCACATGAACAAATTATATTTTCCCGTCTCGTTAACTCATTAATAAGCTATGTTTTATCTTTGCAATCCGTCAGTCTTTAATGTTAACAGATTAATATCACTAATCACATGTATTGTGTGTTACATTCATATTTATCTACATATTGTAGTATAATACAAGTACAGGACGTCGTGACTCACTCAGTTTTTCGTTCATTATGTGAATCGTTCTCAAAATCTCATTGCATAAGTCGAATTAATTTCACATTTATGATGCTATATCTGCATATATTTCAAACAATAACGAAAAAATGCACTTAACAGAGCGATTTAGTTAAGACATTTTAATTTCCAGCAAATATATGCGTGCGTTGGATGATTTCTACGAAAAAAATTTCCCAGAATTCGTTTCATTGCGAACCAAGTGCAAAGAGATCCTACAGGTGTGTTTGTTTTTGTATGTCGTCGTCTTTGAAGGCATCCGTCGAACACTTATGTTTCATTGTAAAATGACGCACTCGTCGCAAAAGAAATGTTTGATTGAGTTCATCAAGCAAATTCGACTTTATGCGTCATATCTCCTTGGTTTCGATTTCTATTACTATCATTGTTTACTATCATCTTGTTTGATCTGTTTAATCAGGTCCGACATTCAAAATTTGAGCGGATGTGGTAAATGATCATATTTCATGTAGTTCGTTTATTCGTTCATTCAAAGCCTGTTGTTGGTATAAAATTGACTGTTTTTAAGGAAGAGGAGGATCTGTCAGAAATTGTGCAGTTGGTCGGCAAAGCATCACTGGCTGAATCGGATAAAATCACATTGGAGGTGGCGAAATTGTTGAAGGATGATTTCTTACAACAAAACGGCTACACTCCTTACGATCGTTTTTGCCCTTTCTATAAAACTGTTGGCATGTTGAAGAACATGTATGTATAGTATTGTTTTCGTTTTTGGTTGTTTTGCGATAATGAAAGGCAGTTTGAGGATCAGATCTCAGAAGAGATTATTTATCTGTTTGCAGAAAAACTGTGTTTCGCTTTTCGTTTCTGAATCGATATTTATTTTGAGCACTTAGCATATCCAGCCGCTTTTACTGTTCAAAAGAGAACGGTCTTATAATTGCGTACTTAAAGTTTATCACATTGCTTCAAATTATTATTAGGTTGTATTATTTGTTCGCCGTGATCTGACTTGAATTGATATAGTTCGCTTTAGGATATCATTCTACGACTTGGCTCGTCATTCGGTTGAGGCAACAGCACAAAGCGAAAACAAGATAACGTGGGCAACGATTCGTGATCACATGGGTGATCTTATGTATCAGCTTTCTTCTATGAAATTCAAGGTACATATTTCTTGTAGACTCTCCGTTTTTTTTTTCGCGTATCATCTGTCTTGCTGTATTTTGTCATTACTTCTCGCTATCAAGAGAAATGTTGTTTTTGATGTGTAAAACATTTGTAGGATCCGGTCAAAGATGGCGAAGATAAAATCAAAAAGGATTATGACGAATTATTGGAGCAGATGCAGACTGCTTTCCGAAATCTCGAAGACTAAAGAAAATTAACTGATCAATTTTTCTTTTTCATTGAATTGAGTTGTTTTTGCGCCCGCTTGAAGCGGAGATTCTTTCTGAAGTGATTTAATCGCCCAGTTTGTCTATCTCTGCATTATTGCTGCGAAGTTTCAAACTTTACAGTTTTCATTTTGTTATATTAATTATTATTTATGATTGATTTTTCGTTATTCAGTGTACAGTACAGTTTTAATAAGCGATTATAGCATTCGCGTTCTTTTCTTTCTGATTCGTAAATCTACCATTGTAACGGAAGTTGGTCTGGTTTGAAGGTGCGCCAAAGTTGTTCAGATTGTGATGATTCACTATGAATGGATTTCGTAACTTTCAGTTTCATCCGTGCTAGTTTTCACATGGAGAGGAGAAGAAGTGTTTTGTTTCGTAGAAAGGAACGACATCTGATGTATTCTCGCTTAGATTAGATGTGACTTTTGAATAGCTTTTTCTAAACTCTAGCTGATTGTTCTTTCATTTCGTCGGCTGGTTTTGCGTACGCATCACCATTTCCAGTTGTTTGTTTTTTTGTTCAGTTAACAAGGAAGTAGTACAGTTTTACATTTACAGCTGACAACAGTCGTCCATTGAAGTTTCTAAGGTGGTTTCCAATGTTTTGAGTTTACTCGGCTCCATTAGAATCGTCTTCAAAATAGCGAGGATGAATCTTTGAAGTGTGCTCTATTGTGAATACGCCTGTTGCATATAGGTTATTATTCTAATAAAAAATAGAAAAAGAAGCAATAATTTATGTCTCTCTGTATGTGTTTATAATCAATATTGTGATGTTGCTGTATCGAATTTCATTCCTTATTAACAGTGTTCTCATGAACTTGTGATAGTATTTTTATATTGACATCAGTAAATAAAGATTTATTATGCTTAGTTGATCGTGGTTATTTCGCATTGTATTCACATTATTGTGACTGCTGCTCGCATCATCTAAGTAACGGGACACCTGCAGTAATAGTAAATATGCACGTATTTTCGTCAAACTAATTAATTAAAGATATCGGTCACCGCATAAAGTGTGATTGTTTTAAAATTAAACAGTTAAAACTAATCTGTCGCACTAAAATTGACTTCGTGTTCGAAACAGATTGAACTGTGAGGTAATCATGAAAAGAATAACCTTAAAAGATTGGCAGGAAGCAGTTATTGGGTTTAGTAACTGCTATGAGTTATAAATTTATGTACTGAACGGAAAAACAAATTGTTAGCATACAAATATGCATGAATTTATTTAAGGGTTAATTTATATGTAAATCAGTGAGCTGGATATTTTTCGACTGATTTAAATATGATCTTTTTTGGTGGATCGGAATATCCAGCAGCTATCAGCACTGAATTACTTGAGAAACTATTTCTCTGCCATCCTTGCAGAAGCCTCACAACGGAATACTATTCATTGATAATAATACACTCGCATAATATACATAGATAATAATAGCAATAATAATAAGAATAATTGATAAGAATAATAATAAATGATAAACAAAAATAATGGTACATGATAGTGAGAATGAACAATAATAATAGTAATAATAGAAATGATAACTAATAATAATGAAAATAATAAATAATAATAGATAATGGTATAGATTAATAATAACAGGTAAAACAAAAACAATATTAATAATAAATAATAACTACAAAAATGATAAATAATAATAAATAGCAATAAGAGTAAATAACAATAATTATAATAATATTAATAAATAATAATAATGATAATAATGATGATAATGATGATAATAATAATAATAGTAATAATAATAATAATAATAAATAAATAATAATAGCAGCAATAATACAACAATGGTAACTTATCTCATTATCACTGCAGTGCTTCGCAGAGAACACTTTAAAGAACAGCCAAAATCAGTTCTATTCTGTTCTGTTCCGCCCTTCAGCGGTTCTATTCTTGCACTCTTTTTGAGAACCGTCCTGTTCTATTTTATTCTCGCGTCCTCTTTTGACAATCGTTCTATTATATTCTATAACGCTCTTAAACGGCTCTATTCTATTTTATTCTGTGTGACCCTCTTTTGAGAAAAATGTTAGCCTCCTTAGAAGCGATCAAGGCTTAATTACCCGTCATTAGGTAGAAAGCTAAAGACCACATCAGTTCGATAAAAGTAACAAATTTTTGCGCTTCAACAAGGTAATGAGTTAACCAGCTGCCCTAAAGCTTGATTTGATTAGCTCTTCAGAGCGATATATTATGAATTCATCGAAAACGACTATATTTTCAGCAAATAAAGATTGCTTTGTCCTTCCTTTTATGGTGAAGAAATATGAACGTCTAGGAATTGTTTTCAAGTGCTAAATAAGCCTGAAAATACGACTATCAACGAGCAGTTAATTTACTAGTGAGAAACAATTGAATGGGTCTTATAGGTTTAGAAAGTATCGCTTATATGGAAGTAACTTGTCGATTTCCATGGCAACCCGATGGTGTTTGTTGTCGTTTGACATAGAATGAATGTTTTCATTACTATCTTTATATTCTGTGATCAGCTGCTTCGGCTTATTTTAATATGTCTTATCCTGGATTCAATAAATTTGCTGATTGATTTTATTTGGTGAACTTTCTGATCAAATGCATTGCAGCTATCATTTTGAATCACTCAATCGATCGTATGTGAAGAAGAACTTAGTCGGAAGTTGTAATGAGTTTACAAACTTGAATTTTTAAAGTTGAATTTTTACGTAGTTTTTTTGTGTTAACAAAAGCTGAAAGATTACAAAGAATGAAATGCAGAACGTGAAATGATGGGAGGAGTATTCGATATCTGTTGATTTAATGCTTCAACTCATTTAGTGTGATCGGTCAAGAATGAGTTCAATTGAATATGTTCCTCGTTCAGAGACCATCTCAGATATTGCACTTCAAGATACAGAAAATGGCAGTCTTCGAACAACGACGTCCGTACTCCTCAGTATACTCGTTATGCTTTCCTTCTTGCTCAACTTATTGCTCTTATCTGCAATATTGTCCAGGTGATTACACATTGCCTTTGAAATTCCTTGATGTTTCATCTTGAAAACAGAAATAGTTTATATGTGCGAAAGCTATTTCGATGCGTTTTACAGTGCCAAATTGCGAAACGTGGTTCTGAACGCATTGTTCTGCAATTTAGCTGCGCTGAATATCGTTGATACAGTGGCCGGTATGTTCATGTCGTTACTATTTGTTGCAAACGGAAAATGGCCATTTAGTGATGCATTGTGTCATTTCAATGCAGCTCTTCAGCAGGTTTGCTGCTTCTTAATCTTCGAACGTTTCAGTTTCCATTTTGATATTCTTTTATGCCAAGATTGTTCGCTTAGTCAAAAAGTGGTCTCCATTTCCATCATTTTTATAAGTGTATGATCACAACTGCTTTTGCTTGGTGTTTCATCAAGATGAAATGGTTGTTATGGTTCCATGAAATGTACTGGATAGATTGAAGCCAACCGAGTGGTATCCACGATTCGGCATTGCATAGGTGGTAACTAGCATTTTTTAGTTTGTACACATGGATTTGCTTATGGGCATAATGATAATGGCAATTGAACGCGCTATAACGCTCTTCTTCCCACAACTACGCACATTCACTTTTGCCCGTACTTTGTACATACTGGCCGCACTGTTCACAATGAGCATTTGCTTTGCAATCCCCGTGTTGACGTCCAATATTCCAGTGAAACCATTCAGATTTAGATATGTATGCGCCGTTAACAGGTAAGCTGTACGATTGTTAGTATCAGATTTTGATAGATGCAATATTCAGAATGGACATTTATCGATTGCTCATGAGATTTTGCTGTGGAAAGCTTATGCTGTTCAAGATTTTGTTATGAATTCTAATATACGAATAGATATCACTCCAAGTTATTTATTCGATTGTCCAATAATGAGATATTGAGTTCTGTGTGAGTTCATTCAAAATACCGGTCTCGTAATTTTTGAATTGCTTCCAGTGAGGTGCCAATTCTTTATCCAATCATGCAAATTCTCGTATACGGTGGTTGCTTGTTCGTATCGCTCATTTGCTTTGGTGCACTTTTGTCACGCGGTAATCACGACAAATCTCGATCGTTACCCATACAGTCACAGGATTATTCGAGCTTCATCAAAAAGTCAAGAGCCTTACAAGACCATCACACGCAAACCAAGCTCGTACTCTTCTTGATGATCACATTCATACTCATTCAAGGACCAGATATTATTCTTACTTTCTATGTTGAAGTAAGCATTTTCATAGTATTTCCGATTTAGTTTAAAATTATGTTCAAGATACGTCACTTGGCTGAACCTAACGTTTTTGGATGATGAAACAACTCGCAGATGTAGATGTTAAGTGGATTAGTGTGTGCAATTGTAGGTAAGGAACAGTCGTGAAATTCTGCAATATAGTGATCCATTTGAAGTACCTCAAGATGCAGCCACCATTCTCAACTGGTTGCGGTTTATCTACCCAATTATCGCACCTCTGCTTGTATGTCTTCATTATTGAATGATCACAGATTACTGAATTAAACGCTCTCACCAGCGTTCTAACCTATCCTAAAGTATCGCAAATTCAGATTTTCTTAACAAAATACCTCAAAGCCTCACAAATTTCACAGTTTTTATGATCATTCCTCATATTGAAATTCATTACAAAAGAAATCCATGTCCACAATATTTTGTTCCTTGGATAGCTTAATAACACATAACATTGTGAAGGAAGCTCAAAAAATCCAGTTTCACAATTGACATTTTTCGTTGCAAATATTCAGTTTTGTATGAGTGATGAGTTTTGAAGCATGGATGAAATCTTCAGATATATTCAGTCTGCAGTGATATTTGGTTGAAACTACAGCAATTGATGTGCTTTCGACATTACTTGAAAACGACAGGTATTGGCAGATGTTCAAGTGAACAATGTATGTTTTTGGGTTAAGAAGTTGCCGAAACGACACCTGTGAAAGCTTCCAAGAAATCGGATTCAGCATCATTCATCCAAAATTTCTCCATTATTATTGTTGCTATCATCATCATTACTATTGTCATTATCCTTAAATTGTCAAGTGAGAAGCAGTTATGTGGTAGGGGTATACAATAGCAGAAACTTTGATGTGGATGATGAGTGATGGTTGCCTTACTTTCTCAGTCAGACAATTGACAACGAAAGTTTCTATTGAGGTAACGGAGGAGGTGCAATGGATCAGAGTAATGTCATGACGTTAGTAGCTACACCCCAAGGACTGCACTTGAGGTTACCACCAACTCATGCTGACGAGCAACAACAAATTTCGAACGATCTCTTCAGCAATAACAATCGGCTACAGTCACAGTATTATGGTACTTCAAACTTGAATAGTGTATCTGATTTTTGCATCCCTCGGCGAAGAATCTCAAAATTGTGTCGTCTAAATAATGCAGTATTTAATCTTCAACCCGCACTTTTACATATTCCACCATCACTGTGCATCCAAAACAACCATTTATTGTAGGTGTTCACGAACAACAGCAACTATACCTCAACGCTGATCGACTGCCTATGAAAATCGCAGACGACTGCTCACGTTTATCACAACATCATCAACGGAGCAACGCCATTAAACCTTCAAAAATTCCTCGTTTGAAGCGATTTGCTCATGGCTCCAAGAAAAATTCTGATTGATTGATGAATGAGAAATCCTTTAATAAATTGGGAAAAAATCGGCTGAATAAACTGACTGAATGAGATATAAAAATTTATTGATTACATGTAAATAAATATCGTTTTCCTTTTGAATTTTATGATTTTTACATCGCAATTTTGTGCATTTCTGATATACCACCATTCAAATTTAATCTTCATTCATGTAGTAAATTATTTTTTAAACACTTGTAATAATTGTGAATTAATGAATAGAAAATTTCAATCCTAGATCGCTAATAATGAACCGGATCATTTATTTCACTGCTGCGTTGTCCTTCCATCAGCAAAAAATTTCTACCGTAACACTGATTTTTTGGCTATGCACTCTTATCGGTTGCACGTGTCTACATATAATAGAAAGGAAGGTTACTGCGAAAAGCAAAGTGGAAATAAACAGACTGCAGGTCGATCTGCGTTTTGCTATTTTGATAGCGCACAAAAATGGTTGCGATTCATTCATGAGAACAATAAGCCAGGTTTATGATCTGTTCAGCTCGAATCTGTCGTCGACTGATTACGTCTTGAATGATTCGAATCATGTGTCCTCATCTGTCTCGATGATGACATTCTGCTACTACGAACGCGTTGTGAGCTTATTTCGTCATTTTCGATCGCACTGCTTTCTCGTCTTCCAACGTTACTCTCATCATCCCTCTTCATTAAGTTATCATCTCCAGCATTAACACGATGTCTTCAAAAAAAAAAAAACGTTTTGTTATATTCAACAAATGCGAAAAATCTGATAGAATTACTTTCTACAGTTGCTGACTAATCGAAGATAAGAATGAGAATAAATATTTCATATAGAAAATGAACGATTTTCATCCAGCATAGGAAAACTGGCCTTAAGGTAGGAACAATCGGTGATTTTCTCGCCTGACTGCTTTCAAAATTATCGTAGCCGCGTTTCTTTTCCCACCACTCAACCCGACTTTCGATCGACTCAGCGGTGGATGGCACTCGTCCGAGTGATCGACCTAAAATTATTCATCAAATTTATTACCGTTGATCTTCTCGAATCAACATAATTTTTGCCTTGCAAAACATCAAATAATAATATTAAAATAATACTTCGATGAATTCAAATCTTCATTTCGTTTTTTCTTTTAGAATAGTGTACGAGTTTTTTTTAGTGTAATGTGTATTTTATAGATAATTAAATTTCCAAGAAAGATCAGAAAAATATATTCTCAGCGAAACGATTACCACAGGTGTTACAAAGCCAGCTGAAGCCTTATCATTTTTTGACTGAAACTAACTGTTTCGATGAGGTCGCATTGAACTCCTTGATCTTATCGCCTCACGTTCTAACTCACTTTGTCCGATATCGTAGTTACTGTCGTTTTTATTGTTATTGCTAAAATCTTATCTCTGATCAGTTTATTGAATTCATCAAATTTTGCTCCAAAATCTAACCAAAACAAATCTTCTGTAAAATCTCAAATTGTAACTACTTACTCAGTTGTTCTGGTTTTCAACTTACACTCTTTTGTGCATTTCAACCTACGCGTACGCTACAAATGAGATGTTTCTTCGTTTTTTTTTTTCACTTTTCAGCATTCCAGCACAACAACAACCTACCGTGAAGCTGAATGGGAATTGACACTCAGACGTGACATTGCTCTTTCGATCGAAGGTCGTTCGTTACGCGATCGCCCTGATGAGGAGTTATCTCTTTTCTGATTTCTGAAAAAAAAAACTCGAGTTCCATAAGATATTCGCTGTTGTTCGCTTTTTCTTATCAGCCTTGTAGGCAGCAGATTTGATGGTAAAGGGCAAAGTAATTTGTTCAATAGGTAGCCATACCTGAGAGCTGGTATAACTGGTGATTGACTAATTGGATATTCGTTGTTGCTGTAAATTTGCTTTCGTTCCCACCACTCTTTTGAAGTGGGTCGAGAGGAAACGTCTTCATTTGTATGTTGTTGCTGTTGCATTTGTGATGGTTGCACTCCTTCAATCGTTTGTAACTTTCAGAGGATATTCTCTTTAAAGAATGAGATTCAATAAAATGAATAAAGACGTTACGAATCACGTACTCAGTTTGTTACCTTAGTAATTCATAACCACTAAAGATTCTTATTGAACTCTATCGAATTAACTCATCCTGTATTAAGCGCACAAGAGGTAAAGGAACCCAATCAAAGTATCCAACAACCTCATTCTATCAACATAATGAAGACTGACTTAGCATTATCAATTGACTTTAGTCTATGTGTTTTAACCATAATACACTTCTTACTTACAACTAGTTATGTCTCTATTCCAGTTAAACTATTCAACTCCTGTTCTATGGTTTCGAACGTTTCTCGAAGAAAGAGAATAGAATAAAACAGTTTTCAAAAAGGTGATATAGAGACATCACTACTTACGACTGTTCTTTCGATGAGCTTGCTTGGTGCGGTTATGGCTATTCGCTTGATCAGCTTGCATTTGAAGCGCACGAATTCGAGCCGCATTCTGTTCAGCTGCCAGCGCTCTTTTGCGCGCTTTCTCCTCTTCGTTCCTCAACTCTTCTTGCAACTTTCGTTTGTATTCTTCGAATCTGAATCAACCGAACCAACAATACATATGTACTGGTGATCCGAACGAGGCTTTGCCACCAAACATATTCACTTCAATCATTTGCTTTTCTCAACTTCTTTCCTTCCATACCGTTCTCATTTTCAATATCAATTTTCATCACCCAATCGAGAAATTCCATAAGAATATTAGCAAATATTGTTCCTGTATGAATTTTTTGATGCGAAATAGTATTGAACAGTTTTACACTCAAATAAATATACCTTTCCTCCTCTTTGCGTTCAAGTTGCAACTCTTTTTCACGTTCCTCTTCTTTTCGTCGTTTATTCTCCTCAATCTGTTTAAGTAGATCTCGTTTGTGTTGTTCAGCTGGATCAATATTGTTCTTGTGATGGAGACGGTCGTAATTGATTATCGACGATACATTCGCATTTAGCAATGACGGTTCATTTGTTGTTGCTTTTGCTAGAAACAATTCAAATTTGGAAATAGCAGAGGATCGACACAATCAAAGTTAATAGATGATTTTATTACGAGTTTGCTGAAGATGAATATTGCTGAATACTGCAATAAATTAGTTTCAATCCGTTTTGATCAATATTTGATCTTTGCAATGATAATATTACAACTACTGAAACGTTTATTTTGGTAAAAATAAACGTTCTCGCTTCAGGACTTGAAATTTCAGTCTGGCGAGTTACGAAGTGATTGTTATTGTTGCTGTTAAATTGTTATCGTTTTTCCTTAATTTGGTAAAAATTATTATTGTTACGTTCATTAATGAAGTTTGTCGCTGGCATTGGTGTTTGTGAAGCTGCAGTGGCACTGATGAAATCCATTGATGAGTACGGGTTAATCACATCGCTAGACTGAAATTTCAAGTCATTCGTTTGATCAGTATGCGTAATGGATGAATTTACTTCTTGATAACTTTTTTAACAGTTTATAATCTCATTCCAATTTCAATTCATAGAACTTGTCTGAACTTGGGAATATTTGAATCACAAAGAACACATAATCTAGATCAATTACTTTTAAAAGGCAGATAAATTACCACATGAATATGAAGAAACGACAAACATACGTTAACGATCGGTGGAGGTGTATAATGCATCGGTGAACTTCGAAAAGAGTTTGCGTTTCGCCATGATTGAGAACCTCTTACACCAGATCTTGGCTGAGGATTACCCATGACCCATGGTGGATCTTCAGGAGTCGTTACTTCTGATCTCTGTGATGAGCAATCTTTCGGTTTCAATCATTAGTATATTTTTTAAGATTGATGAGAATGAAAATGGGTTTTTGCATTAGAGTAAAGTTCGAAAATTATCAGCAAAAATTTGATCATTAGAAAAGTTTTATTGCGATATTATCCGAAATTATGATAGCATTATTGACCTATCTCAATCTAGCATCATTATTACTCATCTGAAGCGCTGTCTACTTACCATTCAGCAAGTATAATTTCGAGGAATGGATGCAAGCAATCAATCCGTTTCTGAATGCAACGTTGCTATGGCCCTATTGACTACGTGTACATCGATCGTGCACGAACAAATAAAATACTTTTTTTTAGCAGCGAAGCAACAATTCAAAAAATACTATCAATAGAAAATGTAAATGTTCAAAATAATTTCGCATAATATTACTAATTTTTGAGCACACTATTTTTAATAAGAAGCGACAATTAATCAAATCAAAATGAAAATTTTGAAGGTAAGTGAGAAAAAGAAGTAGATGTTCAACCTTTTTCTCTTGCTGTTGGGCATTATAGGTTGTTGAAGAAGCTCTTGGGTGTGACGCACTTCTGATTGGAGCGGTAGATTGTTTGTTGTGTTGCGGCATTGCGGTTTCTGGTAGAGGAGTGGCAGCATTATATTGGATATCCAATGGCTGTGTATGTAACGCTGAAGTACTTTGAGAGAGCTGAAATTGATGATTTGAAAAAGTTTGTTTGAGTGATGCTTTTTTGTGACCATTTTGTACAGCCTTCAAACGCATCATCAGCTGACTGAATTTTATCATCTTATTTCATTGACTTTATCTTCAAGCTGATCACTTTTCAAGTAAATCAAAAGAAGCGCTAATATAATACTTCTGAAAAATCCTATTCCGAGAAATTTGTCCATCCATCCAGTCAATTCAATCCGGGATCACAACGTTTTGTCGTTTGTTTTTACCATCACTAAATTTTGACATATATCCTTCCAAACTCTTGCTTCAGACTCATGTTCAGTGTTTCCATAAAATTTGCAAATTCGATTAATCAGAATTTTTTGGAGGTCATCAAAAACATATAGTTTTAGCCAACTCTCCTGCCCGAAAAGAAAACTATGACAGTGTTTATCATTTATTCTGATTATCAAAGTGTTAGGTTTTGGCTTAAGCTTAACCTTAAGTTCTTAAACGTAAGCTTAAGCTTAGGCTAGGGCTTACACTAAACTTACCCCGTATGTTGAACTAGAACTTCCTCTTTTGAAAGATACTGCTGTCTCGAACGATTAACACTCTTCATGTATTGTGTGAGTCGTTCTCTAACAAACTCTTTTCCATAAATATACTAGTCAAAAAAGTGGTGGCGACACAACATGACAGCTAAACGTCAACTACCCATCTCAATCGCTCGCTCGTTAGAATGTGCAACCATTGTTGAGCAGCGATCGTCTCGAAAAAAAATCAAAGTAATATGCTAACCATGAAGGAATTAAGCGGACCAGGAGAAGGATCATCAGGATGAAGTGAGTGTGTATTTACGGCAGCTTCTCTTGCTGCTCTCATCAACGCATTTTGATCACCACTAGTAACTGCAATCGGCTCATAGTAAAGCTTACCCCCAATGTTAACCGGTTGCAGTAACCATTTAGACTGAAATTCATCTCGTGACTGAGAATCAGTAGATAATAATAAGGTGTATGGTTTTCGTGGAGGAAGAGAAATATTCTTAGATGACGAATATTGACAACGCGATGGAATATTACTGTTAATAGCATTAATATTTGGTGTTGAAGAGGTGATGTTGGTATTTTGGTGACCAGGCAATGAATAAACTGACTGTGCTATTGCTGAGGAATAGGCTACTGGTGAAGGAACGTTTTGTAGAGGAGTAAGTAGTGGAGGAGGTAACAATGACATGTAATTCTGATGAAATAGTATATCCTTTCGAGGATCAGTGTTGTCGCAGTGACATGCGGATGGCAGTACAGAATTAGGAGTTGTTTGGTGTTTTTGCACAATATTTGATGTTGTTTGCTGATTATATACAAAATTATCACTGTTGGTGTTCGTGTTGTTGGACTGTTGCTCTCTAATGAGATTGTTTGCAGTATTCACTTGAATCGTGCTGTTCCTCGTACCAAGTGAATTATTCATCGTCGGATTCAAACGATTCGTTTCATCGGTCAAAAAATTCAAACCTTCACTCTGTGTTGATGGATTCCAAGTGAATGTACGAACCATTATTCCCGTTGCTATGATTTTTCCTTGCTGAAATGTTATCCATCGTGAATCATTTCTTTCATCATTCTCTTATCTCTTATTCAGCTTCATTCAGTCGCCACCAACAATCAAACATTTAATTGTTACGTTCACAATAATGTTTTCATTATGTTTAAGCAATGATTACGGTTGTAGTTCAGCGTAATTGTGGTGGTTTGTTTGAAGCCGTTCATTATGTCATAAACATTTGATGGCTATATTCATTGCAGATTATTGAGTATTAAATTGATTTTCAATGAATCAATAAAAGATCACTATAATCTTCAAAAACTCGGTCAATCATGATGATTAACAATTCATTCGCAAAATATGAGATTAACAATAACCCAAATACTTTTCGTTGCTTTTGATCTAATTTACCGTATTGATCAGGGTCAATGAAAGAAGTGTTTATTCGTGAGAATATTTCTTCAAATTCTTAAGGCGCTAATAATGAAACAATTTAGTAGAATTCAAAAGACAAGTGAAGCCCCATAGCCAAACAAATCACTTTGCGAAACTGAAATAGGCAAAGTGGTGACTGATAAGGAAAAATTTGCCCGTCGCGTTGTCCGGAATACGTAGGCGCCTCGGAAGGTTCCACGTATTTTGGGCTGTGCAAATGTGATTCTTGCCTATTATCAGTAATCATCTCCGCTATGCGCATAATATAGCAGTGAAAAATTATGAAATAGATAGGTACCTGAATGTTGCTTGCCCTGCTCCCGCTCACTAAAAGACGACGTCGTCCACTTCAGAGATCTCTTTGAACAGCATTTTTATAGTGTCATTAAATTCAGTTGGCACGAAGAATCGAATAAATAAATGGCCAAATGTGATTAACCGATATTGGGTAATAAGAATAGATTCGTCGACGGAAAACCAACTGTCATCGTGAGCAATGTTGCCAAGGTGATGGTTGAATGAATGAATGGCTGTGAATGTATGTAACGTATCCGTTCCAAATGAGCAAATTACAAATCGAGTTTCCGAGACAATTATAATAATTGTTATTAAACTAGCTCGATTGTGACAGGTACTGATGTGAATATTACACAAATAGTTTTAAAGACGACATCAGACATCGTATAGCTGAAAATACGCATTGTTTTTGTGCCGTTAGCAGTAATACGTTGCAATATTTGTGAAAGACCCTCATGCATTCATGCGATCAATTGACGGAAATCGGCTATTTAGTAATGAGAATTATTTTTAAATATCATTACTGCTATTATTATTATGCAGATTAATCAAGCGAATGAACATTTCATTGCATTTCACATTTTCAATGATACTTTAAAGAGTAATGCAAATGTCATATCATTCATGCAGAATGCTTGCAAGTGAATTGCATGTTGCTGCATAGATTCAAAGCAAAATTTAGACAATATTTTCAACACGTTCAAAATCACTGGCATTTGAAATCATACAATGAGAATGGCAATGCATCTGATATTATAAAAATAAAATGTTATCATTTCCACAACTTAATACCATTGAAAAAATTTTGAAGAAATTTCCATACCACGCAAAGAAATGAGTCACAGAATATCTAGCAATAATATCAGACGTTGATTGTTGACCTAAGGAACTAAAGACTGCTTTTTGTGAAGTGCAGTTAGAATGAGCTAAAAATTCGAATTTTCATTAGTAAGTCGTGTTCGTAACTGCCTTCCTTCGGTTAATGCTTCAAGTGTGCTCATTGATACTGTGTTCATTTGCAATTAATCGATATAAATTAAGGCCATGACGGCTGGCAGTTGTGTGTGTTTAAGCATCAAGCATCAACAAAAAATGATGGAACAATAAATTTTGTCTCTGCATGGTTTGTGCTTCGAAATGATCATGGTACAATCAAAAAAGGCCACTCGATGTGTTGTGCACTAATCATTTATGCTTAATAGCAATGATTTTTGCTTAAGATGATGCCAATGAGACATAACATCCTAAAACCACGCACATTCAATATCTTTTGAATGTTGACACATCGAATTATCTAATCACTCATGTATCATTCCATGCCAATTTCTATTTAAATGAATGAGCATCACCTCTCTGTCACAATCTAAACATAGCTAATTCTTCTCAAGCGTATCATCAACGGAAGTAAGTTTTTTGTGCAAAAACGTTTATCCACAATGCTGCTCGTTTTTATTCGAGCATATCGAACCAAATTTTAGATACCATTCAGCACAGTTCATCACTCACTGCTTCGGCATCGTGTCTCCATCGAATTTTTTTTTCATGTTTCATTTCTACGACAAATCCGCCATTGTTACAGTGATTCGTAACAAAAAAGAACAGCTTGAAATTTTCGCATCACAACTCGTCGAGAAAATTTGTCTTGCTTGTTCGAATTTTTTTTTAAATGCTTGATTTCATCTTCTTAATAGGTGTTGTTGACGAGACAATGTTGTAAGCAGTATCCTGTGCATTATTGTTGGGCTAGCAGGGTGTTATCGCCGGTTTATCAACGATTTGTTTCTGTTGTGTTGTGTATTGTAGCTGTATGAGCTGAGATCGAGTGCACAAGATAGTGTCTTGATATTGCTACAAATAATGTGTTTGTCAATGATTCCAGGAGTACCATTAAAATGGTCTTCAAACATATTTGGATTGTGCCCACACTTGCAACCATTTTTGCATTTATTGCCATGTTCGGCGGGTTGGTCAGAATGACTTTTTTACTGCTTGATGTTCTTTTCAAGCTGAATGCTGAACAAACTCAAATGGATCGATTTTGTCCACATGCTCATGAAGATGATATTTTCCATTTGCAGATATGGTATTGGTGTTGCTGAAGACCACTTAGAAGCGTTGTTTTCATTCATAAGGTAGTCATTTCTTTAGAGGGCTTTTGACAGTAAATTTTACCAAAAATTCTGAGAAAACACTCGCTGATATTCAGTAGAAGAATCGAACAGCTGAAGTGGAAAGCATATGGCGCAAAGTACATCAGTATCGATATTGGTGCAAATGGAATGAGTCTTGAAGAATTAATAAATTTGGCTAGCTGTTTGCTGAGAACTGAGAATGAGGGTTGAAACAATTTCAGTGATGGGGGCGCTACACCACCTGAAAGTTGTGTATTTGGCGAATTTTTGAATTTATCTGCGATGTTCAGTGAGTTTCTGTTTTACTATTTGAAATATTATTCAGCATTCCTACAATCTCAAAATCTCCAAAAACGATCTCCGCAGTTTACAGAATCCAAAACTCAAATACTTTTTGGTATTCAAACAACTCACCCGATTAAAAATACTATTCAATACTTTTTACATCACTAAACAATACAGTTAATTGATTAATCACTTACTCGTGTGCATCAATAACCGCATCACGTATCTGGCATTCATCGCCCTAAGAATCGATAACAATAATTGATTTCTAACAGAGGTGGACACAGATCCGTTAATCGTCAGTTATCGTCCGTTAACGAATTAAATATTACGGTAAACTTGAAAAGATAACTGAATTAATGCAGACAGTTAAAATATACCTCGGGTGTGTTAACTCGCTGAAAGTTTTTGAAAAAGTTGAAATCATGTGACATAAAGCATGCGACCTGTAGGATGCATGCTATTGAAATGATGTGTTTCATGAGCATTTTTATTGAACAATAAGTATACGTTCAAAAACACTGCAGGGGAATTAGCTCCAGCGGTTTCGAAGAATTTANCTGGTCTAAGCCTAAAATTAATTAATATCCTAATATTAATTAATTTTAGGATTTAACTTTATCGACGTTAACATTTTAGTTAGTTGTGCCAGCCTCTGATTATTAATGAAGCAATATGAATTCGTTAATGAGCGTTTCCAGCAAACAATTAAACGATTGTATTGTAAGTTCTGCTAAGAGCATGATCACGAACTTGCAGTAGCATTAAGCATTTACATTCGACATTTACAAACAGTCGTATTTTACGATAAAACGCATCATGTGCAAGGAAATTGGAAAATGTGGAGTAGAGTGATGATGTGTATCGGTTTTGTTACTGCATTCGGTGTTTCGTTAGTGGCTAACGTTCAGGTAAGTTATTTCGTGCATGAGATAGATATGAAATGATCATGCCTTCGAGAACATGATTTCACTTGCAGGAGACTGCTATTCCAGCAGTGCATGATATTGGAGCGTTGCTTGCATTTTTATGCGGTGTTGTGTATATTTGCTCACAAGTGATCTTCTCGTTGATTATGCGACCGCTTATTACCCGAAAACTGATCACTCATATTCGACTATTATTAGCTGTGATTGCTACTGTCAGCCTCGTATTCTGTACGTTTGCCTTCTCACCGAATGAGTAGTTCACACTTTGTTGAATTTTGCATGCAATTCTACAAGTGCTCAATTCAAGAGTCAATTCTCGATGTGACGAAAAACTTCGACGATCTTCGGAATACATTTATGATCAAAAGGGCATTATTTTATTAGGATTTACATAATTAAGTCTGACCAAAATAATTGCATAATGCAATACACTTATTTGTTATTCTAACTATCCAGTTTAAATTCTAGACTTTACTGTGCTATTTGGACACATTTTTGTAAGGAGAGAAGCGGATGGAACAATGCCAACCAAACCACCGAGAGTAGGCGTCATACGTGTTCCTCGCGATTCACCAGTATGTTAATTTACTACAACCGTACCAAAATTCGTTGCTTAACACTATTATTAACAGGATCATTGCTGCAGCCTTACAAAAGACACATGCTGGATGTGTAACTCAGTGCTTTTTGACTAGGTGATCTTACAAAGATACTTTCCAGCGAATGATATTATTCGCGAACGCTTTTCGTTATTTCAATCTGTTGAAATTTCAGTTCTTCACCAATCACTTAATATCGACAATATGTGAATGGATCCTCGGCCTTTGTTTGTATTTCTTCGTGCTTTCATATGCCTTCGAGCTACGTAACTTATACACACATTCACCGGCTATTCAGTTAAAACCGACGCATAAGAATTTCAAACCGATTTATATGAATATCAATATTCCAAGTATGGTATTGCCAGATGAGCCAATACAGTTCAATCATAACAACAAGCAAGTGCAATGCGTTAACAAGGAAGGTCAATACGAACCGAACTCATTCAACGGCACTTCTTAAAGGCCTCACTTTCAGCAGTGTTCGTATCACCAAAAAGACAACAGCAATCTGATTTTGATTCTTTTTGTTTCAGAAGTCAACCCTCGAGACGGCAATAATTCAAACGAAATCTAATGCCATTATAAACGACCGTGTTAATAGGCATCAAATTTTTAAAACAGCAACTGCTCATACTCAATGAAATTTAAAATGAAAAGCAGGTGTGTACGGCACATGAAACATAATAAACATTCAGTGAGACTTTGCTAACTATTTGGAAATTTGTGTTGAAAAACTGAAAACGAAACAACAAGATGAAAAAAGTCGGTCAATGATGCAACAAGCCGATAATTGCAATCACAGACTTTATGGTGATCATCAAACGAGGCTTGAAAATGATATTCGAGTATCGATCAACAATATCAACAAAACATATATGTATCTTACAGTTTTTTGAAACAATATCAAATTGAACAACGATGCGCAATTTTACTCTCGAATCGATAGGCGTTATGCTAAACCGAGTCGATGCTTTTGTTTTTGTTTCTTCCTCACCGTATCCATATTTCGCTCTCTCCAATTGCTTTTACGCAACTTAATCGGTCGATTCCCCACATATTTGCCATCCATTTCACGACATGCACGAACAAAATCCTGAAATTAATTAATTAATCAGTCATCTGATTAATAATTCGTCTAAATATGCGTTTTTTTCTAGAGTTTGCATAATCGCTCACAACGTGAAATAATATTAGTCTTCAATCAACTATTGAAAATGATCCCGAAAAATATCCCGACTTTCAAAATAGTGAATGATAATGCCTTCAGAAACACTGACATCTTGATGTTTGAATGAGACAAAACCGTATCCTTTTGATTTGTTGGTTCGACTTTCACGGATAACTTTTGCCTTCTGGAAACTCGGATATTTACGGAACGCCTTCGCCAACAGTTCATCAGAAACCTCGTTGCCGAGATCACCGCAGAAAATACGAAAGTCGTTCGGATCCCATTCCGCTAACGAATTGTCTTCCCATACCTAGTGCAGCAACACCAAGTACTCTCAAAAAACTTAACAAACACATAAATGCCGAAAGGATGACGCAGTCAATCGCTGCAAAGTAAAATGCTTAAAAGCACTCATGGTATTCAGCATACAGTGACTGTACTCGAATTACTTCAATTGATGAATGCTAAATAAATGATTCACGAACTGATCAAAGGCATAAAATAAGAAATCGGACTTCACAAAAGCATTCAAAAAACCACTTACCTGACCACCACCGCATCGCATGAATCGTTTCATTTTCTTTTCACCTCGGATCACCTGACCCAAATAACTTGAGCGATTGGCTGCTTCGTTTTGCTTTTTTTGCGCGAGCAACTCTACGTCCGACGATAATGCCTATAGATCAAAACCACGCCTGTTTACTTAAGATAATACTGATAATAAAATTAAAATAAAAATGGATAATTCAAAAAAATTTTTCAAAAATCAACAACACTACGAATGTACAAAAATTTGAACTATGGCTTAGCTTGTGAGCAATTAGCATAAATGGTGCAGAAAGAATGTGAGACTGAGAAAACATGGACATGAATCATACACAATTAAGAAGGTGGGAGGAAAGTTTCAGTAGGGAATGAATTGAATAGATCGTGAACTGGATACAAAAGTTACGAACAGCTGTAACCTCAACTGCATAAAATTGTTGACCTGAGTTTTGATGGAACCTCCTTGACTAGGTTCAGGTTCTTTTTCCTCCTCATTATCCTCTTTTTTCTTCTCGTTGTCATCGTATAAACTCGGTCCTGATTCAAGAACAGCTGGCTGCGGTGCTACTGGAATTGGCATTGGCGGTCGTGCAAATGGTGGCAGCGGTAACCTCAACTGTACTTTCGACGTTCAGCTACTCATTCGTTCAACTCTTGTCGAGAAGAAAAATGAAACGAAAATCGTGCAAAACAAAATGATCTGATAGTTACACCATGAAAATGATCCGATGATTACACTATTGGCATAAATTTTTATGAAGCGGACAAATTTTCTTAAAATCAGCTATATCCATGAACCACCATCGCAAATATATGAGTAAACTTTAAGAGAATGAGAAAAGCATTCAAAAAAAAGTCGAACGAGTGAACGGTCAGAGATGATCGAAAATTTCCTGTTCAGTAAATGATTATTACCTGCGGTGGTAAGAAACGCATTGCGACGTTGGGTGGTGGTAAAAAACCAGGACGCATCATCACATGCGGTAGGAATCTAGAATAAGGAAAGAGTCAGGAACAGTCAAGCATTCTGCATAATTATTAACACAAAGCAATATGTACATGAACTTACGGCGGGACACTGCGTATCGATGGAGTTGAGCCAGGCGCAGAGGGCATTTCCGGACGTGACGTACCTCCGGTTTGATTAGGCAAAATTGGACCAGCTATAAGCGGTGCAGCAGGGGCATTCGGTCCAACTGATTGCGCATCAGATTTTGACGTAGCTGGTGAGACATCAACGTTGACAGCGTTCACTGGTTCAGGAGACTTCTTCGGGGCCTCCAGTGATGATATTTCCTTCTCGAATCTGAAATTTATTACACGGGTACTGTTGAACAATAAGAATCGAATCAGAAGACCAAAATCAGAAGACACAATTCCACTCGACGATAACCAAAAATGTCCTCTTTTGCACAAATAAATCAAAATTGTAAAGCGCACATCACTTTACAATTATGATATCTTGAACGGTTTCACTGTCAGAAGATAAGTGCGCTTTCGAATCAACGAAAAATACTCCAAATTAGGAAATTGTTAAGACGACGATTTGTGATTAATTGGTTTTTTGCTAATGATAATAATCGGTGTTAGAATCAAATTTTTGCTTAAAATTGCAAAATTTTTGGCGCACTGCAACTCAGGTTATGGATGTATTATTGAAAAGCAATCGTAATCATTAAATAAACTCACAATGCCAATTCATCCTCGATGTTTCGTGTTCCGTTAACGGTAGCCATTATAAAAATGAAGAAAAAACCAAAATACCATGAAATGTAGAACCCGTTTCAATAACGATAACGCCTGCAAATAAACAATTAATTGAAAACATCCGACTGATGATAAAGTGTACTGAAAGCATTGAACGATTTGAACTCTGAACATTTTCATTACGAATACGTATCAAACCTGGTTTTGCACACATGACACATTAACAAACGCTAAATGATACAAATTCAGTTACTTTTATCTTAATGAAACGAAAGTCTCTCATAGTTAAAATTATACTCCGCCATTAATAATTGTGACGATAACGCTACTAACGCTAAAAATTGAAGCAACATTCTCTGCTGATCAAAATTTGTCATGTTGCGCCAAATTGTTTCGAACAAAACATTGGCAGTCACAACGTAATGAGAGTGTAGATTCCTGCATTGCATTTTTGGTTGACGTAGATTGCTCGGAGATGAATTGAGTGAAAGCTAATCAGAAGATTATCGATAGTGACTGCAGAGGTAAGGATATGTAGACGCACGAGAGGAAGAAAATAGTTTTGGAATATGATGTAAAAACTGATGATATGAGAGAATAGAAATTGAATATGTTAATGGCTTCCAACAGAATGCTACACATTCAGCACCCTTTTGGCATGCTATCGTCGATCATTTGTCTGATTTTCATGTCGTTTCCTTCGCTTCATTTCTTGACATAACATTCTCATTTCATTAGATCGAACTACTTCTCTCATTCGCTTCTCAATTAATTCTGATTCCTTCTCATTCTATTAAGCTCAGATAGATTTACTCTATGTTCATTCCCCAATTTGTAAAGGAAATGATAGTTTGGCAGAATGGCTCAGAATTATTCGATGCCAAGAGTGTCGTTTACTTTTATCGGTTGATTTTGCTGATAAAGTCGAACTGGAATATTTACAACAAAGTTCACCTTAATCCCGTACGACGTCTCTTCTTATTCGTTCATATATGCGAAAGATGCATACGCTCGAAGGCGATCAGTTGAAAACTTAGGGTCATCAGCAACTGATATCGTCCAAAATCTGAGTTACAATTTCTGATGCGTGCATCTGCGTATGCGGCATTCACCTTCACTGATAATGTTTTATATTCACATTTCAACCTTTTTTTTCAGACAGATGTCGGTCTTGTGAATTTATTTCATCATACTATACGCTCCTCGAAAGGTTTACGCGTGAACGCGATCGTTATAACTTTCTAACTCTGTTCGAGCAATATCTAAAATGAGCAGGTATTGGGTTCAGAGTTCTGCAACTCCGGGAAGGTGAATGTTTTCGGTTGACTTTCTCATGGTCCACTTTAAAAAATATAACTTAAGCTAGATGTGACTAAAACTTGACCTTCCTAAAAAATACAAAATCTGCAGTGTCAAACCGGTATACGGAGCACAGTATCCTCCGTTGACCAGTCATGATGACCCGAAAGACGGTTCATTCCGTTCAGATGAAACGCTATCAAATAATAATACGCAGCTTGGATCGAAGTTCAAAAAGTATGAGGATAGGTAAGTAAGATTGGAAGTATTTGTAAAGAAGTTGTTATATTTGTGGGTATAGTCTATGGTTAATGGTTGTTTGAATTGTGATCCATAACCTGAATGTTGTATGGAATCGAGGATCACTGCATTCAGTGTGGTGAATTAACTTGATGAGTGGTTCAGTTGAGAAATAAATCATTTGCAGTGTGTCAGATGCGTGGGAAACATCTGTCCGAGTTGATGCGTTGGTAGCGTCGACGAGTGCCGCGAAGGTATTAGAACAACACGCTGCGATGAGACGTGATCTTATCATGCCACCGGTCAATCCAACACCTTCAAAAAACAGTAAAGTACAAGCAATGCAACGCCTTGCCACTCAAAAAGGTTCATTGTTGGTTCCTTTCATCTTTTTTGTTTTATGTTCGAATTCTGAAAAAAAAAACTCAAACAGAGAATATTGGAAATTCTTAGTTTTTGGAAATATTTTCAGATTGAATTTATCGTCATTTTCTCAGTTTTGTTAGAAATGTCATTGATAACCGAATATTTCAGAACCAATTCCTGGTTCAGCTGTTCCATGGCACAATTCTGGCATTGCCTCAGCAGCTGCAAGTGGTCTATATCCAAGATTGCCTGAGGTGAGCACACAGTAAAATGCTTTCTCAATTTAAATCAGTCATTGTTTCTTCATTCGTTCATGATTCGAATTAGAGCAGACGTTGGTAAGTTACTTCAATTATTTGAATGCTGGTCAGTCTAGTAGGATGCGTTCTTGATAATATTATGTAATTGCGCTATGAAGATTTCTTTTGAAACGTTCATTTGGAAAATTTTCTAAATTATTCATTGTCAGGATAATACATTGTCAAGGTCTGAGAATTTTAAATGGAATGCTGTCGAAAATGCTTTTAGGTATCTGCCGAACATCGTGGAACGACTATTTTCGACGCATCTCAATCGACGGCTGCCTCGAAAAACTCATCTTCAAGAGGCATGCGTTGTATTGACTGCTAAATTATCTTTAAAGAGAACTTTTCCAGAAATATCGTCAAAGGTAATATTTGTCCAAGTTTAGGACGAGATCGTGACCAAAACCGTTTTGATCGCCTACGAGCACAGTTGGGATTTCACTCAGATCCATCCGATGATGATTATTCACATCCACCTCCAAATGTTAGCGTAGATCTGGAATTACTAAAGAAAAACTGTTGGATGGGTATACCTCATGTTTTACGTCCAATCATTTGGAGAATTCTTTCGGTTAGTTTTTTTCTGTTTCATTGCTATTTTCATTTTCGTTTGTTTATTTATGGTCATCTCTTGTTTGTATTCATTTTTCTTCAATTCATCTGTTGTTTTCTTTCGTTTACAGTGAATTCAATGTGAGTGTGCAGAAATGGCCTGAATAACTCAGTTTGTGTGAATTTTCTATTATTTTGCATACACTACTTGCAGGGTTATTTACCTACAAATTTTGAGCGTCGTGAAGTGACGCTCACTCGAAAAAGACAAGAATATTGGCATTATGTTGAGCAGTATTTTTATACTCGTTTCGAAGAACAGCATCAAGATACGTATAGACAGGTTCGTGCTCGCTCAATCTGTGTATTTGATAGAATGCTTGATTATTTTTTGTTTCTTTCGATTAAAAGGAGTAGAATTTTGTTTTCATGATTGTAGATTGCAGTTACCGAACAGCTGTGGCATGGTAATTTATTTTTATTGATCTGTCTTTCTAGATTCACATCGATATCCCGCGTATGTGTCCTTTGATACCTCTCTTCCAACAGAAAATCGTTCAAGAGGTTTGTTTGTCTCGTTGAGTTCTTCGGTCTGAATTTTGTGAATGACGTCTTCTTTTCACTATTCTTCGCCCATTGATTATTGCCAATCATTCGTAGATGTTCGAACGTGTGCTATATATCTGGGCGATAAGACATCCAGCCAGTGGTTATGTTCAGGGTATAAACGACCTCGTTACTCCGTTTTTTGTCGTCTTTCTTTCTGAATTCATTTCCGATGGTCAGTTTATATCCATTCTTCGTTGTTGTTTTTTTTTTCTGTTCATTACATTATAATTGCTCCTAGCTATTCCAGAGAATATCTTATTATATTTTCAAAATCTTATCTTTCAAATTGGTTCTCCAGATCATTTGGATTTAGCGATTGCATGTGAATATTATGACATATTGTACGTATTGTTTATAAAAGGTAAACGAACTTCAGACGCGGAAGTTGGTACATACGAGGTGGACCAGTTGCCTCGTGAACAGCTCGATGTTGTTGAGGCAGATAGTTTTTGGTGTGTTAGTGCATTACTTGATACCATTCAGGATAACTACACATTTGCTCAACCTGGTATACAACGCAAAATTGTACAGCTGAAACACTTGATGAGTCGTGTAGATCGTTAGTTTTCTCATTTTATGTCTATTTCTTCAGTAGCTCTCTGCTGATATTTCAGCCTTTCGTTAATCGTTTCACATATTTTTCTTCGTTTTTTAATATTTTTACATATATGGTATATACCTCCTTTGCAAGAAG